GTGAAGAGCTCAGACCTCCTCAAGCACCTGCGCACCCACACCGGGGAGCGGCCCTACGAGTGCGCCCAGTGCGGCAAGGCCTTCAGCCAGACGTCGCACCTGACGCAGCACCAGCGCATCCACAGTGGCGAGACGCCCTACGCGTGCACGGCGTGCGGCAAGGCCTTCCGGCACAGCTCCTCGCTGGTGCGGCACCAGCGCATCCACACGGCCGAGAAGTCCTTCCGCTGCGGCGAGTGCGGCAAGGCTTTCAGCCACGGCTCCAACCTCAGCCAGCACCGCAAGATCCACGCGGGCGGGCGGCCCTACGCCTGTGGGCAGTGCGGCCGCCGCTTCTGCCGCAACTCGCACCTGATCCAGCACGAGCGCACGCACACGGGGGAGAAGCCCTACGCCTGCGCGCTGTGCGGTGCTGCCTTCAGCCAGGGCTCCTCGCTCTTTAAGCACCAGCGTGTGCACACCGGAGAGAAGCCCTTCTCCTGCCCGCAGTGCGGCCGGGCCTTCAGCCACAGCTCCAACCTCACACAGCACCAGCTGCTGCACACCGGCGAGAGGCCCTTCCGCTGCGCAGACTGCGGCAAGGCCTTCGCTAAGGGCGCTGTGCTGCTGAGCCACCGGCGCATCCACACTGGCGAGAAGCCTTTTGTGTGCGCACAGTGCGGCCGCGCCTTCCGGGAGCGCCCAGCCCTCTTCCACCACGAGAGGATCCACACCGGGGAGAAGGCTGTGCGTCGGCCTGGGCCCAGCCTGCATCCCCGGGTCCAGCCTCCGTCAGGGTCATCATCAGAAAGTGCCCTGAGGAGGGAAGCAGAGCCCACTCCTTCCTCCCCCTCTGGCCCAGGTGCAGTCTCGAAGCCAGCTGAGGCCTGAAGTCACAGCCTTGCCCTTCCCCGGCCTTCTGTGAGTCCCTTCCACAGCTAAAGGGCCTATGTCGTCTGCAAATTGACAGCGTGGGGGAAGCTCTGTGCATTTGAGTCAAGGAGGAGGGAGATCCTTTGGTTGTGGTTCCACTTGCACGTTTTGATAGGATTTGCCACCTTAGCCCCAGCTCACACCTCCATCCCCAAAGAAGTCACACGGCAGAAAGATGAGGGGTAGGACACAGCGACTGGGACTCTGGTGGGCCAAGACTATAGTCAGAGTCAGTGGGAAGCCGACAATAGCGGCCCTGCACATTGGTGACACTTCACGTGTGTTATGATAGTGGCTGCTAAGGTGAGGAGGGGACATGCAGGCATCCGGGGCAGGGAGGGCCAGGGAAACTTCTGATGTCTGCACACAGACTGGCCACAGGACAGATGCTTGGGATATTCCCCCCAGGCCTCAGTTCATCCAAGGCTTTCTACGTCCCAGCCTAGGAGACAATAGGTCATAGGCCAGTGGGGTCAGGTTGGTGGCCTTGGACAAGTGGCTGGGCTCTCCGTTTCTGCTTCTTCCTCTGGGAGAAAGAAAAAAGTTTTAGTGTCTGAACGTCATGTTGGCAGACACTCTGATAGTCAACATGTGTTTGCTGCAAGCTCCTGCTCTGAGTGCTGGGAAGTTTCTCCTACACCCCTGTGAGGCAGCTTCTGTGGCTGGTATCCCTACTTGGAAGTGAGGAAACTGAGGCACACAGAGGGGAGGAAAATCGTCCTTGGCAGACAACAGAGCCAGGACTCCAAGTCAGGTGGACTGGCCAAGCATCACATCTGGGGCTGTGCTCTAAGCTGCCAGGGGTGAGGGCCTGGCCTGGCTCCCCACACACAGCCAACTTGGGCTGCGGAAGTCTTCAGAGGAAGATGTGACTCTCAGCTTTGGAAACACAGATCCTAGATGATTGTTCTCCAGTGGTGCTTGTGCACATTCTCATCCAAGTCTCAGCATTGGCCAAGTCCTGCCACTGACCCTTGTTACCAAATTCGACCTTACCAGGAGCCTTCACATGTGACGTGACAGTAATAACTTCAGAGGAGAAAAGAGGGCTGCTCATTTTTGTTGCGGTTGATAGTGACATGCCCTCCTGTTCTCCCTTCTGAATTGGTGGGTGGGCAGAGAGCTGAATTGGAAGGACTTGCCATTATCTAAGGCCATGTGTGATACCTTCCTAAAATCTATCCCCACCCCCAATGTAATGACCCCAAATTGTACGGACAGAAGGTGGAGTGGGCGGCCCAGTTTGCTTCCTGTGGCCTGTAGCATACCAGGCTCCAACCCCACCTGGCATCTTACCTGCTAGGAAATTAATGGCCTTTTGCCTGGAAAAAGACAACTAGCATTTACAACTCGAAATAGACATTGTAATTTTTTGCCCGGCAATGTGGACCTCCATAGCCTTGGCCTTCTCTCCTGACTCCAGGGCCCGGTTCAGGTTTAATAAGAGTTTAAAGAGGCTCTATGATAAAAGTCCTTTTTACACACTTGTGTGAACAACCTGACACCCATTTCACCCTAATATAATGCAGATGATATTTAACATATAGAAACATCAGGGTGTGATTGTCACAGAGGTTCAGGGTCTTGCCTTCAACCTGGGGCCCCTGGAGAGGCCACAGGGTAGAGATGGAGCCTGTCTGGGGCCCTGTGAAGGACTAGGCTGCCTGTATCCTCTTTTAGGTGGTGTGGGGGGAGGGGAGAGCCAGACACTTGTGTTAAGTGGGCAAGGTTGGGCTTTCCCCAAGTAGCAGCTGTGCTGGGAGATGAGCCTTCCTTGTCCTGGACATGGGAGCCAGGCAGGTGGCGAATCCAAGACAGGACTGTGTGCTGCCTGCTGCTGAGGCAGAGGGTGTGGCCATGTGTGGTGACCCTGAAAGTTGACTCCAGCGCAGTGAGCACTGCATCTCATGGTCTCTAAAACCTTACATCCATCCCCCATACACAAAGAGGACAAACTCAGTTCCCACCCACCTGCCATGGGAGCCAGACCCATCTTCTGCCACTTGAACTTCCCAAGTTCCTCCAAGGAGGAGGGCATGTAGGACCCAGTTCCCCCATACCCTGCAATGGTGGGTCCCCTGAGCTGGACCTGCTGATGACCTATGGGCCCCTGAGCCACTGTCCACCACTCTTGGTTGTACTAACTGTGTAGAGCTGTGAAATGCAGACAAACCCCTCACCCTGCCTTCCAAAGTACTCTTCAAGGAAGCCCATAGGACTCAGCAGCAAAGGCATCTGTGAAACAAGTGGGTACCCGGAAAATGAAGTCTTTTCTGGCTTTAGACAAAAGCTCCTGGAGCTATTTCTGGCCTGAACCCTCCTGACCCTTCAGGCTGCGTTCAATGCCCTATCCTGCCTTCTTGAACTCATTCACATCTCTGCTTGTGCCCCTGTTGGCCTTCAGCTCCTCTACCCTCCTTGAATCTGCTCCCAATACCCGGTACTGGCCAGTGGCCCCCAACCTTGGCTCATGCCTTCCCCTATGTCTTGACCCCTCAGTTGGGCCCCCCTCCCCAGCCTTCCCCACCCAGACCACAGCTGTTAATTAATGCTGAACAGGCCCTGACTGCAAAGGTGTCCTGGGGCTTCTGGGTCAAAAGATCAGATGGAACAAATCCATCTCACTGGGCTCAGAAATCCACTGAAACCACCAAGGGCAGTGTTTAAAACATAAACCCACAAGTATGAGAATGGTGAAAGCACTCACCAGCAGTGGCATTCTGAAGCTAGAAGTGAATGGGGAGCTGTCACTAATTATGGAATGCCAAATACTAAGTTGGCACTGATGGAAGTGGAGAGAGGTCCCACCAGACCTACTGCCAGAATTCTAGAAGGCAGGGAATCAGTAGCCCAGGGAGAGATCTGTAACAAAGCTACCTGGGGGTGACACCTAGTTGAGAAGCCCTTACAGCCCCAGTGCTTTCCCCACCTGGTGGAGGGTGAAAGAGTTGTCTCTGGAAAATCTGCACAGTTCCAGAGAAAAGACCTAATTGCTCCCCAAACAGCACAACTTGATGAAGCCACTGGGAAGCTCGGAGTTGACAAGCCCCACCCACGCACATGCTCAGAGCTTCCAATGCTTGTTTAAGATCACTGCTGTTCATCCCGAGCAGACAGCCCGGGATTCCCGGGTAGCAGAAGAAACCAAACCAGACAGGCAGATGCAATTCAGGATTAAACAAATAAGTCGTGGTTCGGCCACTTGATGTGTGGAAGCTCACTGACCTCACCCCACAGTCAGATTTGAAAGCAATAATATCGCCTACTGAGAGAAACTAAATAAGGTCGCCCTGTCTAGTTCTGCTCCCCAAAGCAAATAAAAGGTAAACAAATGGTTGAGCACGTCCATAGCCTGGACATAACCCTCCACCGCTCACATCGCAGGATTGGTGTGTGAAGACATGTCAGAGACCGGGGGTATAACCATGAGACAGTTAACCTCATCAATGAATGGGTCCCACCAGAGTCCCTGTTGTCCTGCATGTCTGCAGGGCGCCTAACGGAGGTCGAATGAAGAACCCCAGCATCCTCCTCGCGGGAGAAGTCCCCAGAGATGGCCGAGAAAGCCCAGGTTCATGCTGCCCTTCCGCACCGCACCGCGCCTCCTCCCTAGACCACCTGGAAGCGAGTGCCGGCGGAACTACACAAGGCAACAGAGCGCCGCCACTTCCCCCCCCTCGGGAGCGCAGGGTGACGCTTCTGCAGACACCACGGCAACGGCCGGGGGCGGGCGGATGCGTTCTAGCTGTTACCCAGGGGAGGTCTGGGCGGCGGTAAAGATCTCGCCGGGGGAGGGGCCGGGGCGGGGCCCCGGCTCTGATTGGCCAAACGATCATGCTCCTCCCCGCCCCTCACCTCTCTTGCCAATAGCAACCGGGCCCGCTGTGCACATGCGCAGGAGTTTAACGCGGTGTCCCGCTCGGCAGCGGGTGAGTCCTGGGGCTCGGACACAAAAAAAGAGCAGCTGCCAGAGAAGGGAGAGATCCCCCAAGACTGTGCGACACTGCGGATCCCTCCGAGGGGGACGTAGCACCTCCCAGGCGTGAGAGGCCTCTGAAAATGCGCGTCCGCTTGCCGAGGCTGCGCCCTTCCTTGCTTGTTGATGCTCATGGGAAATGTAGTTCAACGCGGGGGGGGGCGGGGCGTTGCCTTCGGAGAAGGCGCGGGATTGGGCAAGCCTTGTCGTCAAGGCAACACGCGGGCGCGCGGGGGTGTAGCGGTGCCAGTTCGCGGAAGCGGTCTCGGGGCGCTGGCCCCGCTATTGAGGTGAGCGCGGGTCTGGCTGGGTAGGGCGCGGCTTTTTCCACCCCCTTGTGGGGTTTGGGGCCGCCTCTGGCGGGCTCCTCCTCCCTGCGCTCCGGAGAGCCCGCCTACCTCCCAACGTGCCCTGCGCGTCCCCACCTCCCAGGTTTTGCACAGGCCTTTCCTCCCGCCCCGACGCCGTTCCCTCTGCCCGGTGCCCTATGCCTGGTCCCCGGGCCTGGTATTTTAGAAGACCTTCTCCTTCCTTTCCCTTTTTGGGAGACAGATCCTGAAGTTCGAGGTTGCCTTGGATAAGTCCAGAGTCGGGCCTGGTCTGGCGGGTCCTCCTCAGGTGGGCGTGTTTCACTCCAGACCCTCTTCAGGGGTTTGGATACCGTGGCCACCTACGACTCCACGCAACGTGTGGCCCAGTTTTCTTGGCTTTTGTTTTTGGTTTTTAGATGCAGGGGCCCAAGCAGTGCTAGTTGTCCATGGTGTGGTCAGCAAACACTGTCTCTTGGAGTCCACACCAGGCCCGTGGGTGCTCGTAGTCCTCCAGCCCCTGCCCTGCCCTGGTGTGGACGTGCCCTGTGCCCCACTTCAGTCCACGTGTCTCAGAGATTGTGGTGACGGGCACTCCCCGATAGAGCCCAGTCCGGCTCTGCTTTCTACCTACTGACCCCTCTACCCTCAGGGCTCCCATTCACCCTGGGCCATGGCCCATCTGCCCACTCCCCTCCCTTCTCTGCTGGACACTGTCTGTAGCTGCTCAGCCTGACCCTGGAAGCCTATGATGACTCCCCTTGCCCACCTCTTCACCATCATCTCCCAACAGTCTCCTGTTGGACTCAACTGTTTGCAATTTCCCAGAAGTTCCTTGGACACCTTGTCTCCAGGCATTTGTCCCGAAGGCTTCTTCCTGCTCTCACTTCCTGTCAGTGTTCGGCTCCTGTCACCCCCTCCCTCCATAAAGCTTTCCTGTCCTCCCCTACTCCCAGCCTCATTGTCCATTCTGTTCTGGTCTTGGCTCCCTGGGCTGGGCCTCTTGGCTAATACCCTGACCCCTCCTTTTCTGTAGGTCCATCTTTATAGCTCCAAGAAGACCCCTTTGAACAAGAATGCCATCCCCTCTGGGTCCCCCATGCCTATCCCTCATGGACCCTGAGATCACCTTTGAGGAGCCTGAGGCTGCACGTCTGCGCTTCCGGGGGTTCTGCTACCAGGAGGTGGCAGGTCCCCGGGAGGCCCTGGCCCAGCTGAGAGAGCTGTGTCGCCAGTGGCTGCGGCCTGAGGCCCACTCCAAGGAGCAGATGCTGGAGCTGCTGGTGCTGGAGCAGTTCTTGGGCACACTGCCCCCTGAGATCCAGGCCTGGGTTCGAGGTCAGCAGCCAGGCAGCCCCGAGGAGGCTGCTGCCCTGGTCGAGAGGCTGCAGCATGACCCTGGGCAGCTGTTGGGCTGGGTGAGTATGGCTGGCATTGGCTTCTTGGAGGGACCAACCAAAGGTAGAGCCCCTGTGACTTGCCTCTTCTCCTCAGATCACGGCCCACATACTGAAGCGGGAAGTGCTCCCTGCAGCCCAGAAGACAGAGGAGTCCTCGAGGAGCTCTCATTCCTCAGGGACAGTGGAGTCCCCTGGAGCAGCCCCTGGGGAGGGTCCTCAGGACACCAGGATAGAGAGGTCCACCCAGCTTAGCTGCAGCGTGAAGGAGGAGCCCGATGCCGATGGGCAGGAAATGGGTGCGGCAGGGGATGAGGGGCCCCTGGAGGAAGGTGTGGAAATCCCTGGCTATGTTGGGAGTCCTGGGAGAGGTTGTATCAGGGCTAGAAGACCTGAAATAAATGTGGTTGTCCCCAGCTTGGGTGGGGACCTGGGAGGGACTGCAGAGCTGGGTCCCTGTGAGGCAGGAGCAAAAGCCTGGCTGCCCACCCTGCCTCTGCCCACCCAGAGGAGGATCAAGGCCGCAGCAATAACACCAGCTCCTTGTCCACCTTGGCTCACCTGGGCAGCCCCTGACACTTCCCCTCCTGTCTGCCCCACTTTCCAGCACCCCCCAGCACTCCCCTTTCAGCCCAGTCCCCCGAGGGGCACGTTGGACACCAGGAACCAGATTCCGTGTCTTTCCACCAACCCAGGATTCAGGTAAGCAGCCCAGGGTGGGAAGTGTACGCCTCGGTGTGGGAGGGGAATGTCCCTGTGGCTGCCCTCTGCCCTGTGGTTTTCCTTACTCTCTGGCTAATGGGTCTTTGCTGCCCATAGGTAGAGGCAGTAGCAATGATACCCCCCACAGGACCTGGGACAGGCTGGTGGTCTATCTTATCATTGGCAAGGATTTGGGCCTCAGGCCATGGACACCTGCTTTAGAGTGGCTAGAACTTGTGGGCTTGGCTTCCTCACCTCCAGAGAAGTTAGTTGAGAGGTTTGCTGCTCCCAGAGGTCCTGGGCTGGCACCTGGAGCTTTGAACTTTTGTGTGCAAGTGGGGAAGGGACAAGATGACCAGCTGTGGCATGACTCCCCCTACACCTGAGACCAGAACGGAGACTCTTTCCTGGGAAATGCCCGAAGTTCCTTCTCTCCTGGGGCTTTCCTCAAAGGGCAATCTGCTGGGCCTGGAAGCTCAGCTCAGAGGCCCTGCTACCTGGAGCACTTGGCTGCCAAGTGTGGGTAATGGGGTCTTATCCTCTCCCAGTTCCTCTGCTTCTCAACCAGTAGAATTGCTAGTCGAAATGTGTTTTGACGCTGAGAAGTCTCTCCAGGCTCCCTCTTTGGCCAGATGGCACAGTCAGAAACATGATGCAGGGTCGACAGGATGCACCCTCCACAGTGTGGTCACTTCCAGCCAGCACCGTCTCTAGCTGTGGCTCCCTGGGGCTGCCGCCTCCCTGCCCCTGGACCTGCTTCAGCTTGTCTTTCAGCATTATTTTTCCTAGGCCAGGAAAGCCCTAGATGAGTACATTCTTTGCTAAAGCCATTTGGGTCCTTGCTGTACTGCCACGGTCACCGTCTCTCAGTGGGGTGGGACAGCCGAGGGGCATGAGTGCTGGCGGCGTTGGTCAGGTGATCCAAAGGAGGACCCCAACACTCACCCATCTCAGCTTCATCTTTAGCTCCCCCAGCAGATGAGACTTAGGTAACCTGCTGGCTCCCCCAGGTAATGAGTCAGGATGTGACCACCGGGTGGGGCGGGGCAGGGAGTGGACCGGCACGACAGTGATGGGCTGTGTCTGCAGGAGGAGTGGGGGTTGCTGGACCCGTCACAGAAGGAGCTGTACTGGGACGCGATGCTGGAGAAGTACGGCAGAGAAGTAGTCTCTCTGGGTGAGGATCCGGCCCACCCGCCCCTCTCCTTTGATGCAGGCACCGCCCCGCGCGCTGCGGGACCAGCCCTTCCAGTGCTTGGCCCCGTTGTTCTCCCTCCTTCCAGGGGGCACCCTTGTCACTCCCTGGAGCCCCCACTCCGTCCCTCCTTTGTGCCAGCCCCCAGCCACACCTGCTGCCTGACTGTGCCCCCCACCCTGGCAGGGTTGCCGCCCCAGCAGCTGCAGCCAGTGCGGGCCCAGCCTGAGCCAGGGACGCTGCGCGAGGGGCCCGAGGTCTGCAGAAGCCTTTGCCCAGGTGAGAGCCCCTCCTTGCGGGGAGCTCGTGCCACCCCACAGGCCTGAATGGGGTGGGCCCGTGTCGTGTCGCGAGTGCCGGGACTCAGCCGGTGCACCCCCTCTTCCCCCAGGAGATGAGACCGAGGGTCCGCCGGGCTGCCCAGAGGCCCAGCTACCCCAGGGGCAGGGGCCTGTCGCTTGGGAGGGCCTGTCTGGGGCCGCTGCACCCGCTCCGCCGGCCGGCCTGGGGACACCGCCTGCGCGCCCCCCGCCCACGCCCCCGGAGGCTGGGGAGCCTGGCGCGCCTGCTAGGAAGCGCTACACGTGCGAGCAGTGCGGCCTCGGCTTCGACTGGAAGTCGGTGTTCGTCATCCACCACCGGACGCACGCGGGCAGGCAGAGTGCGCAGGCCCGGGCCCCGGGCCCTGGGGGCGACACGGAGAATTCGCCGCAGTGTCCCCTGGAACACGCTGCTTCGCGCCACCGGCCGCGGTCGTCGGCAGGGCCCGGGAGCTTCGTGTGTGAGGAGTGCGGGAGCCGCTTCAGCTGGAAGTCGCAGCTGGTCATCCACCGCAAGAACCACACTGGCCAGCGGCGCCACTTTTGCAGTGACTGCGGCCGCGGCTTCGACTGGAAGTCCCAGCTGGTCATCCACAGAAAGAGCCACCGGCTCGAGGCCGTGTGAACACCTGGACAGCGCAGCCCCGCCCTGGGGCCTTGGAGTTTTCAGGGCCTGGATGCCAGCCCCCGTGGCGTGAGGATCTGCCTCAGTCCAGGAGATTCTGGAGGCAGCAGGGGCCTCCGGAGTGAACGGTGGTCCCAAGCAGGTCCTCTGCCCCTGGCCTGGCCTCCCCTAAAAGAACTGGGTGCAAGAAAAAGAAGCTGCTCCCTCCCTTCTTGCCCTTGTCTTCTGGAATGAGGCCTGGGTTCAAGTCCTGGGCTTACTGGTGACCGTGGGGTGACTGCCAAGCCCCAGGCCCCCCGCTTGTGACATGGTGCAGGCTGACAACACTCTCTACTCCTGGGACCCCACTGCCGCTCCTGCCTGCAGTGGCAGGGCCTGAGGTCTCAGTTTGAGGCAGTAGAAAGCCCAGGAAAACACATCTGCCTTCTGTTCATCCTGCTTCATGTGACCCTGGACCTCCATGTGTGTGTTAGATTTTTAACATAAATTCCATTTTTATAATGGGGAGTTTCTGAATAAGAACACTGGTTTCTGGCTTGTACTGGTCAGAAAAAAAGCAGTGTGCTCTCTCTGCCCAGCAGCTGGAGTCACAAGGCAGCTGAGCCCAGAAGGGCCAAGCCTCCTGTGGCTATGGTGCCCAGGTCCCCAGCCTCCCTTTTTCCCTGGACTTTGAACTCTTGAGCTTGGGTTTGAGTGGGCAGAAAGGGGACTTCCTTTCCAAGCATGGATGGACAAGGGTGACTACCGAGAAGAGGCCCACACATAGGTGTTGCTGAGGCCGTGTACACCTCCAGGTCAGGGCTGCATCCCCACACGGTCAATTGGTTATGTAGCAGGAGAGCAAAGGGTCAGCTCTCTGCTGCCCAAGGAGATTGGGTTTTGTGTTTTTTTTAAGAGACAGGGTCTTGCTCTGTTGCCCAGGCTGGAGTGCACTAGTGCGATAATAACTCACTGCAGCCTCGAACTCTTGGGCTCGTGCGATCCTCCCGCCTCAGTCTCCCCAGTAGCTGGTATTACAAGTGTATGCCACCATGTCCAGCTGCCCAGGGAGATCCATCTGGATCTCTGGGCAGTCACTGAGGACTCACCAATGCACTGTATTAATTTCCTATTGCTGCTCTAACGTTGCTGCTTGCAACAACATGGATTTATTCTTTTACAGCCTTGAAGGTCAGAACTCAATGGGTCTTCCTGGGCTAAAATCAAGGTTTCAACAGGGGTGGTTCCTCCTGGAGGCTCTAGAGAATCCATTTCATTGCCTTCTCCAGCTTCTAGAGGCCGCCTACATTCCTTTTTGGTCCCTTCATCTTCAAAACCAGCAATAGGTCTCTGGTCCTCCTGCCTCCTCTTAAGGACCTGGTGATTATACCTAGGGCCCACCTAGAACCCACAATACTCTCCCCATCTCAAGATCCCTAATCACATCTTGTCCCCTCCCCACCTGCACCTTTTTAAAATTTATTTATTTTAATTTCCGAGTATTACGGGGGTACAAATGCTTCTCACTACATTTTTTGTGGAAAATACGGGGGCTTTTTATATTTAATAATGATATTTATGCTAACATTTGTTATGGGCTGTGTGTCCCCCAAATATTCGTATGTTGAAGCCCTAAGTATAAGAACTTGACCTTGCTTGGAGATTGGGTTTTTGCAGAGGTAATAGTTTAAGATAAGGTCATTAAGGTGGGCCCTAATCCAATATGACTAGTATCCTTATACAAAGGGAAAATTTGGAGACAGACATAGACATAGAAGAATGCTACATAAAGATGAAGGCAACATAAATTGCTTTTCCACCGCCACACTCAGAGCTACAAGTGTGCCCATCCCCCAGGCAGTGCACACCATATCCGTTACCTGTGAATTTACCCATCGCTTCCTACCCCTCCCACCTACCTGACACCCTGTGAACGTTACTTCCCATATGTGCACATTAGCGCTGAGCCATTAGCACCACCCGTCTGCACTCTTAATCACACCTGCAGCATCCCTTTTGCCATGGGAGGTAAAATGTTCACGGGTTCTGGGTATCGGGATGGGGAATCCTTTTCAACTCCAGAGGTCACAAAATTTTCACTTTTTCCTGATATTTAAAAATATCATTGGCCAGGCGCTGTGGCTCACTCGTGTAATCTTAACACTCTGGGAGGCCAAGGAGGGAGGATTGCCTGAGGTCAGGAGTTCAAGACCAGCCTGAGCAAGAGCAAGACCATGTCTCTACTAAAAATAGAAAAAGCCGGGCATGGGTGTTGCGTGGTGCTGCTCGCCTGTAGTCCAAGCTACTCGGGAGGCTGAGGCAGGAGGATCGCTTGAACTCAGGAGTTTGAGGTTGCTGTGAGCTAGGATGACGCCACGGCACTCTAGCCTGGGTGACAGAGTGAGACTCTGTCTCAAAAAAAAAAAAATCATTGAAAATATCCTTGTTTTTTAATAAATCTGGAGTTTATTTTTGACTGTGTATAAACCAGAAATCTATTTTCTTCTATATAGAAAGCCAGTTGTTCCCCAACATTTAGTGAACGTCCACCTTGTCTTCACGACTTTCACATATACCAAGTTCCAACAGGTCTGTTCCTGGATTGATCTAGTTGTCCACTCCTGTGACAATACCATGCTGGCCGGCTCCTCCTACACCCTTGGCCTTACCCAGACAGGGTCATCCCACAGGGACAGCTGAGGTCCCTGGCGGGGAGTACGGAGTACCCTAAAGCGAGGTCTCTGGGGGCACTGGGTGCTGCACTCCCACTGTTCCTTCATCCACGCAGACACACAGACTTATGTGTATACATTCGAGTTTATTCTCGCACTGCTACAGGGCCTACTGCCATTTCCAGTGCGGTGAGGTTAGGGGTATGGTCAGTCTGGGATTCATGACGACCTCACGCAGGCTCAGGGTGAAGGTGACACTGAGTAGGGTGGTGGTCAGAGTGGGTCCCTGTCCCTGTGGGCTGGTCAGAGGGTCAGAGCCTCCGGGTTCCCTCACACAAAGCCTGGTATATGTCTGCTGTCAGGGGCAGGAAGGTCTGGGCCTGGTTGTCCAGTACAAACAGGGGGTCAACGATGACACCCACGTTGAAGCCCTCACGCACCAACTGGGTCTTCCTCAGTTTGAACGTGCTTGTGATCTCCAGGGCGTCCTGCAGAGCGGTGATCGTGACCCCCTGACTGTGACAGCCACCCCTGGCCGTGATCCCCCACCCACCTACTCCTGCCACCCTGGACTCACCTGGATACGGATGAAATGCGGGGCAGCGTAGGCAGGGAGCCAAGCACGGATGTACTGGAATAGCTTCTGCCCATCGAAAGTCTTGCCGGGGACCAGCTGCACGGCAGCCATGCCCACCTTACCCTCGCACCCTAGGAAGCAACACTGGTCACTCTCGGCTGACCCATCTCGAGGGGCCCACAACTGACCCTCCAGCCTCGCTCAGCTCCTCACTGGCTGTGCGACCAGGCAAGTCTCTAAACCTCTCTGTGCCCCAGCAGTTCCCCACCTATAAAATTGAAATAACAACCCTCCACCCACAAAGCTGTTGGAGTTTTTTTTTTTTTTGGGCTTGTTTTAATTTTTTTTTTTTTTTTTTTTTTTTTTTGAGACAGAGTCTCACTTTGTTGCCCGGGCTAGAGTGAGTGCCATGGCGTCAGCCTAGCTCACAGCAACCTCAGACTCCTGGGCTCAAGCTATCCTCCTGTCTCAGCCTCCCGAGTAGCTGGGACTACAGGCATGCGCCACCATGCCCGGCTAATTTTTTTCTATATATTTTTTGCTGTCCAATTAATTTCTTTCTATTTTTAGTAGAGACAGGGTCTCGCTCTTGCTCAGGCTGGTCTCGAACTCCTGAGCTCAAACAATCCGCCCGCCTTGGCCTCCCAGAGAGCTAGGATTACAGGCGTGAGCCACCGCGCCTGGCCAGCTGTTGGAGTTTTAAACTGAGGGGAACCCTCCGTACCTGGCACAGACACGCCATAGACGTTAACCTCCTGCAGGAAGTCCACCTGCGACAACACGCCCTCCACCTCCCGCGTGGACACGTTCTCACCCTTCCATCTGCGGGGTTGGAGCCCAAGTTGGCGACCACGCCACGCCCCGGCCAAAGGGGAGGCCCTGCCTCTTGCCCTCCAAACCACGCCCCCTCCAGGATCCGGAAGCCCCGCCTCTTCAGTCAGGCCCCCCCTCCTTGGGATCCGAAAGCCCCGGCGGCCCCGCCCCAGCCCCAGCCGCCCGCTCTCCTAGTCCCGCCCAGATAAACCCCGCCCCGAACCGGAAGGTGTCCCCAAGGCGGTCGCGGAAATAGACGAATCCTTCGCGATCTATGGCCAGTACGTCCCCGGAGTTGTAGTAAACGTCACCCGTGCGCCGCACGTCCCGCACCAACTTCCGTTCCGACAGCTCTCGGGGGCCGCGGTAGCCTACGAAGGGTTGGCGGCCCACCACCTGGGCCAGCAGGATCCCCGCTTCCCCTGGGGTAGGAGTAGGAGTATTAACCAAGAACAAGCAGCTCTGGAACCCACCAGCCCCCTGCTGGAGGTTTCCACGACGGTGAACTCTTCATCATTCGGGACTGTGCCAGAGACAGACCCAGAGATAGAGACAGGGTTCCAGAGACATAGGGACGGAGATACAGAGAGGCCTTGAGAGACTGGGGCAGGGGGACACAGGAAATGAGAGAAGCAGAGAGAAGGTGGCCTCAGGGAGCCCATGAGAAACAGGAAAAAGATAACAAGGGATGGAAGAGGGATAGAGATAAATGGCGGCGGGAAGAAAGAGATACCAACAGGACCCTGCAAGGCCCCAGAAGAGAAGACACGAAGAGAAGGTCCAGAGTGAGAGATTGAAGTAGGGGGTCCCAGGTGGTGGTCAGACAGGCCAGGGACTCAGGGTCCAGACGAGGGCTGCAGATGTCTCTACTGAGCACCGATCTCAAGGTTTTGGGCAGCTTGTTCCAGCCAAGGGAGAGAGAGGGTCTCCACCCCTTCTACACCCAGGAAAGGCTCCCCGCCCCTCATACCTGGCCCCACGGGGATGCAGAAGCCCTGACTGTCCCTCACAGGCTCCTCTGTCTCTGTGTCGAACTTTACCAGCTCAAAAGGGGACAGCATCTGTGTGGAGAGCGGGGAGCGTTGGCATAGTTCCTTCTGGCTCGGCCTCAGCCAGAGCCACTCACACCAGGCACCCGACCCACTCACTCGAACGAAGCAGCTTGTCTTGCCCACGGCCCCACAGCGCCCCACATAGTTCACGAAGCCGATGTTGCCCTCTGTGGAGCCGTAGGCTTCCCGGATCTGAATGGGACCGAAGCGCTGCTGGAAGGTCTCCCACACGTCAGCCCGGAGTC